TAGCAGACATTACCACACTTTCACATAATAACTCTATTATAAAGCCTCCTGTGCAGCTCCCCTATTCTCTCCATTGCCTTCACCCTGCAGACTCTGCTCCAGTCACCTCTGCTGTGTGATTTATGGGCAGCGATCATTGCGCAGCTCAGCCTTCGAGAATGTATACATAGATCGGTAAATAAGAGGGATCGGGGTGTCTCCTGCTCCCTGCGCTGGCTGTGACAGCTCTGCCCCGGCTCCGGACTGCGCTCTGCCATGCACAGTGGGTGGATCTGCTCCGGGCTGGGGGTGGGGAGCTTCTATCGCTCGCCTATAAGGAGCTGTCCACCATCTCAGTGCTGAATCTTCATCCCAGAGCTGGAAGCTGCCTCCTGCTCGCTGGCTGCCTGTCTGCCTGTCTCCTGTGGAGGGTTCTCTTGAAGGAGTTTGTGCAGAGGAAGTCTGCAGCCCAGCCTGGATTATCTGGATGCTGCTGAGAGCAAAGGATTGTCTGAGCAGAGCAAGGCACAGAGATCTGGGATAACATCCACACTGACTCTGCCTTCTACCTGAGCAGCTTCTGCTGGAGGAAAACAAGACACGATGGATTCTGGGGGGACCTGGTTTGGGGCTTTTCTGTGTGTGCTGCTGTCTGCTGTGTGGCCCCTTGGATCAACAGCTGCAAACTGTAAGTGATGGGGACACCTGGGGGGGCTCTCACAGTTGTCTCTTTAGCAGGGGCTCTGTGGAATAGAATGGAATATTGCTGCTCTCCGACTGACCTGGGTGCAGATTGTTTATGTCTCCTGTACTATGTAGGTAAAAGGCATTTCATGGCAAGCTTGTGTTCTGCTGCTGCTAGCAATCCCTGTACACACTGATTAATTGCCATTGCTTTGGAGGGTGGACACTGCAACCTGCAGATCATCTTTGATTACCAGTGTGCCCAGTAGATTGCTGGTTTCTAGTTAAAGCTAAATGCTGATATTGTGCTGCTGTTCCGCCAGCCTTTCTCAACCTTTTACCTGGAGAGCAACCCCCTTCGAAATCACTGTTATGTCTGCTAAAACCAATTCATTGGGAGGTCAAGATGCCCCTTACATTGGTTGCCAGAGAAGAATGCTACCCTTGCAGACAGCTAAAAAGATCACTGCACACCTCTTGCAAAATTAGCACAATATTTGACTTGTTATGGGTTCCATCAACCACTAGCAGCCCATTATTTGGCTGCTATGGGTTCAACCCCTAAGGGTTGCTTGAGCTGTGGCTGATGAACACCCGAAAATATTGTGAGTTCAATCAGCCACAGTCCAAGGAACCCCTAGCAGCCTCTGGAGGAAACCTAGACTTCCAGGGGACCCTGGTTGAGAATGGCTGTGCTGAGCTATACTTGTCCATATGGTACCATTGATGATCAGGAATCTGAAGGCTGTCCCATGATGGATTGATGATTGAAGTTTGCATTTGCTTTAGTGGAGTGATTCTATGTTCATGGATGTGTCCAGCTGCTGAGCAGGGTGCGAAGGGTTAATAAAAAGGTAGACAGCGAATGCTAATGGGACAAGATCTTCTTGCGAAGCATGGGCTGCCTTGAAACTGATGCAGTGTATCTAACTCTGTGAAGTGCAATATGTGGTTGAGTTCCCATCACTTTCCGCAGCCATGAGCTGCTGCAGTCTTGCACCGCTGTCATCCTAGAAGTACGCAGTTTGAATGCTTTATGCCAGGCTGGGAGGCTTCCTGGAGATGCAGTGGGTTGTATGTGTAGCAGAAGCATCAGGCTGGATAGGGGAACAAGATCACAGCAAAAGGTTCACATCAATAATAGAAAAAAAAGAGTGTCATCATACCATACATATGCTCCTCTGCTTTGTAAGCTGAATTGCTAACTTTATACCATTAGGGTCTATGCTAAATTGCACATCATATGCTAATGATGTTGAGTGTGCAATCAATATGATTTAAACTCTTAGCTCCTAATCTTGTGCAGCAACTGGTTATTTAGGCCACATTATCAATTTGTTCCTTACAGCAATATTAAGATTTTTTTTTGTTTGGTTCTACAACTGCAGTGTGACAATCTGACCACTGGAGGTCACTGTTGGTCTTCAGCAGGTTCATGTTGAGCCCAAGATTATGAAAACTCAGAGGATGGATTCCACTCCGGATAAAGTGTCTCCAGAAAAAAAAATAAGAGAGAAGCCTTTTATATTTATGCACCGTAACGAAATACCCCTCACTACAACCCCCCCCCCCCCCCCCCCCCCCCCACCCCCACCAAAAAACCCCCAAAAACATTCATTCTGAGGTAATTAGCACAGCACCCTGCTCTAAAAACAGCACTGCACTGTATTGATATAGAATATATGGTCATAGCCAATATAAAACACTGCCCTGCAAAATATTGATACAATATTATTACATTTACCAAACAGGGAGAGATGTATCTATATACATTGGTGAATTTTAATTTCCTGATCAGGGATGTGGGGTGAATCTGAGATAGGAATCGTCATATTTCCTTGTCAGGATGGTAATTGCTGGAGAAATGTTTGAAGGGGTCGTCGCCCCTTTGCGTAAATCTTAGCAGTTGGTTTTTCTTGCAGTGTGTAATTCCAGACAGACGCTGTACAAGGTGGAGGCTGAACGACCGCCATCGTCTCGTTTAATTCCATATAATGTCTGTAAAGGAGTCTTCCTGATCATCGGAGTGGCTTAGGTTCACCGTATGTGTTTCAGTCTGACCATACAATCTCTGCGCAAGCAAACTTAAGCTCACAGCACATGTTACAATCTGCTTTACGGTCACCACACGCGTTACAGTCTGATCATATCATCTTTGTACGGTCAACTTTGGATTTACCAAAACTATGTAATGCGAGGATGCACCTAATCTATCCAATCAATGTGTATCTAAATAGGCAGGCGCTTGCATTACATCAGGGGTAGGCAACTTCGACACTCCAGCTGTTGTGAAACTACAAGTCCCATGAGGCATCGCAAGACCCAGACAGCCACAAGCATGACTCCCAGAGTCAGATGTATGAAGGGATTTGTAGTTGCACCACAGCTGCGGTGCCGAGGTTGCCTACGAATGCACTACATACTGGTTGATAGATCTAAAGGAGATTGTACCATCAGATTGCAATTTGTAAGGACTTTGGATTTCCTCCAGAGGATGCTAGGGGTTCCCTGAGAGGAGGGCAGTGGCAGACTGAGCTCCTACCCACTCTGACCACCAATGTAAGGGCCACTTCTATAATGGACACCAATGTAATGGTCACTTACACACTGACTACTAATGTAAGGGATCACTTCTATACTGAGCACCATTCTAAGAGGACACGTCTATACTGAGCTCCAATGTAAGGGGACACATCTATACTGAGCACCAATGTAAGGGGTCATTTCTATACTGAGCACCAATATAAGGGGACACATCTATACTGACCACCAATGTAAGGGGTCACTTCTATACTGAGCACCAATGTAAGGGGACACGTCTATACTGAGCTCCAATGTAAGGGGTCACTTCTATACTGAGCACCAATGTAAGGGGTCACTTCTATACTGAGCACCAATGTAATGGGTCACTTCTATACTGAGCACCAATGTAAGGGGACACATCTATACTGAGCACCAATGTAAGGGGACACATCTAAACTGACCACCAATGTAAGGGGTCACTTATATACTGAGCACCAATGTAAGGGGACACATCTATACTGAGCTCCATTGTAAGGGGTCACTTCCATACTGAGCACCAATGTAAGAGGTCACTTCTATACTAAGCACCAATGTAAGGGCTCACTTTTATACTGAGCACCAATGTAAGAGGTCACTTCTATACTAAGCACCAATGTAAGGGCTCACTTTTATACTGAGCACCAATGTAAGAGGTCACTTCTATACTAAGCACCAATGTAAGGGCTCACTTTTATACTGAGCACCAATGTAAGAGGTCACTTCTATACTAAGCACCAATGTAAGGGCTCACTTTTATACTGAGCACCAATGTAAGAGGTCACTTCTATACTAAGCACCAATGTAAGGGCTCACTTTTATACTGAGCACCAATGTAAGAGGTCACTTCTATACTAAGCACCAATGTAAGGGCTCACTTTTATACTGAGCACCAATGTAAGAGGTCACTTCTATACTAAGCACCAATGTAAGGGCTCACTTTTATACTGAGCACCAATGTAAGAGGTCACTTCTATACTAAGCACCAATGTAAGGGCTCACTTTTATACTGAGCACCAATGTAAGAGGTCACTTCTATACTAAGCACCAATGTAAGGGCTCACTTTTATACTGAGCACCAATGTAAGAGGTCACTTCTATACTAAGCACCAATGTAAGGGCTCACTTTTATACTGAGCACCAATGTAAGAGGTCACTTCTATACTAAGCACCAATGTAAGGGCTCACTTTTATACTGAGCACCAATGTAAGAGGTCACTTCTATACTAAGCACCAATGTAAGGGCTCACTTTTATACTGAGCACCAATGTAAGAGGTCACTTCTATACTAAGCACCAATGTAAGGGCTCACTTTTATACTGAGCACCAATGTAAGAGGTCACTTCTATACTAAGCACCAATGTAAGGGCTCACTTTTATACTGAGCACCAATGTAAGAGGTCACTTCTATACTAAGCACCAATGTAAGGGCTCACTTTTATACTGAGCACCAATGTAAGAGGTCACTTCTATACTAAGCACCAATGTAAGGGCTCACTTTTATACTGAGCACCAATGTAAGAGGTCACTTCTATACTAAGCACCAATGTAAGGGCTCACTTTTATACTGAGCACCAATGTAAGAGGTCACTTCTATACTAAGCACCAATGTAAGGGCTCACTTTTATACTGAGCACCAATGTAAGAGGTCACTTCTATACTAAGCACCAATGTAAGGGCTCACTTTTATACTGAGCACCAATGTAAGAGGTCACTTCTATACTAAGCACCAATGTAAGGGCTCACTTTTATACTGAGCACCAATGTAAGAGGTCACTTCTATACTAAGCACCAATGTAAGGGCTCACTTTTATACTGAGCACCAATGTAAGAGGTCACTTCTATACTAAGCACCAATGTAAGGGCTCACTTTTATACTGAGCACCAATGTAAGAGGTCACTTCTATACTAAGCACCAATGTAAGGGCTCACTTTTATACTGAGCACCAATGTAAGAGGTCACTTCTATACTAAGCACCAATGTAAGGGCTCACTTTTATACTGAGCACCAATGTAAGAGGTCACTTCTATACTAAGCACCAATGTAAGGGCTCACTTTTATACTGAGCACCAATGTAAGAGGTCACTTCTATACTAAGCACCAATGTAAGGGCTCACTTTTATACTGAGCACCAATGTAAGAGGTCACTTCTATACTAAGCACCAATGTAAGGGCTCACTTTTATACTGAGCACCAATGTAAGAGGTCACTTCTATACTAAGCACCAATGTAAGGGCTCACTTTTATACTGAGCACCAATGTAAGAGGTCACTTCTATACTAAGCACCAATGTAAGGGCTCACTTTTATACTGAGCACCAATGTAAGAGGTCACTTCTATACTAAGCACCAATGTAAGGGCTCACTTTTATACTGAGCACCAATGTAAGAGGTCACTTCTATACTAAGCACCAATGTAAGGGCTCACTTTTATACTGAGCACCA